GGTTTTGTCAAACTCTCTAGGGGTATTAGACAAGAAGATCATATTTTTTTTTATATGTTTATCATCCTGTCAGAATATCTGTCTAATCTGATTCATCAAGCATGTTCTTTCTCTCTCTCTCTCTCTCTCTCTCTCTCTCTCTCTCTCTCTCTCTCTCTCTCTCTCTCTCTCTCTTTTCTGGGGACAAAATTAATGGGTTAAGAGGTTCGTACGGTGGTCGCAGATCGCGTGCGGTGGTCGACAGTGTTGTGTGCGGCGTCTAATCTCGGGGTCTCGATAGATCGGGATCTTTTACTGTGTTACTTGACACCTCTTCGTATGTCTCGGTGGATCAATAAAATGAAGATAAAGCTCGACTTGGGAACTAGTGAGAGAAGGTGACTGTACTTGTGTATTGCATGAGGCTATATGTCTCTCTCAATCCCATGAGCTTAATGGTGTACTTATAGATCTACAATAGGGATTCTAAGGAGGTGAAGATTTGGGCTCATGAAGCATTGGACCTCACTATGGGCCACGACCATTCTGCTCAATAATTTAAATAATATTTCGGTCCACTAACGAAACATTATTGCACTCCCTTATCATCTCCGAAATTATATTCGAGACTCTAGTAATAATTACATGAATTACCTTCACGTTTAAGATAAAATGTCTATCAATTTATTCAATTATTGATAACAAAAAAGTAAATGATATCTTGTAAACCGAAGCCAGTACCACTCATCCCATTATTATATGTCAGAACTTTTAGCTCAAAAATTACCTCAACGTCCGTGTTGTATTATCCCAAATTCGTCTTTAGCACAAAATGGGGCTATTGGACCAAGTTGGTAGCATTATGGGCCATTTCTGCGCTTGCTGGGCCATATACAAGCTGGTTGGGCCGGACTGAGGGTAACAAGGGAAGTGGGCCGCTCGTAGGACGGATCTGGGCCTCATGCGGGCAAAACGGGGCCATAGGTGGGCTGGTGCGTGAGCTACTGGCGGGCTAGACGTGGGCCTCGTGCGGGCCGCACGTTGGAGATGCTGGATCCTAGGCCTTCGTAAATGGGCCTCCTCTTGGGCCCTCCTGGCAGCTGGATCGCGGGCGTCGGGCCTTTGTGCTTATATGGACACGGGCCGCTCACCTGGGCAATTTCCTCGCTTGGACGAGGATTGAGGATGGTGCTGAGCTGCGAGCACCACAGCTGCAGCTTGCCGAAAAGAAAAAATCGTCGGCCGAGGCTCACTGTCTCCAGCGAGATTGACCGGCCGTGTGCCCGCCTCAGCCTGGCGATTTCGGTGGTGCCGTCCTATTGAAGTGGTTCGCCTAAAATCACCAGAAAAATAGAGAAGATGACCAGGGTTAACAAAAAATGCTCTAGATCCATAAACTTTAACCGCAAAATTGACGGTCTTCTTAGAGAAATTTTTGCATGAAATTTTAAGTGGAGAACGAGCACGAGAAGAGCTTCAAGATGACATAAGAATTTTTTCGATCGGATGATTTTGACCGGCGGCGTCCGAAAAAGGTCAGTTCCTGGAGATTCGCCCCGATGAGAGGATTCCATTGGTGCTCCCGGATTTTTCATATCCCTCATGGATCATCAAAAAATGCATTCAAAGGTCAGATGTTAATCCACCTGTAGGGTTTAACATAATAATCCTTTATGAGCTCACTTCGGGGACATCATCAAGCTGACAGACATGGTAACCGTAAATATTTTAACAACACATCGTACATGCAACACTAGTACCTAAAACATCAAGAGTATTATTGATCCATCAGAATGAATCTCACTTTTAGTGAATTAAAGTAATAGCTACTGCACGCAAATGCCTGTTTATATCTCACGGGTTAAGGTAAAGCAGTAAGAAACTGAGGCTTAGTTCATTTACGACAATCAGTATAAAACGAACGACTCCTCTCTGTGGTCTTATTCAATACATAAATATACTAGTGCAACTAATCAGTCAAAATCAGCTGTACGGTTGACACTACAACCATTCTGATGGTTTGTTCATTTTCATCTAGGTTGTGAACCAATCATTCTTGTTTTGCAAGTAACTGATAAAATGATTTTATGTTCACCAAATAATGAATCATTTCATCTTAGTGCAAAGCAACAAAACATAGAACTTGTTTAACGATTCACAATTCGACATAAATTAAGTGTAAATATCATCCAAAGGTAATCTTTCAGTATATACACCAATAGAGCGTTCTCGGCCAGTGAGAAAGAGTGCAAGAGTTTGGTTCTATCCACTGCCAGCAGCTTCTTTTCAAACAACAGGCCCAAGAGTTCCTCAAACACTTTCTTAATAACAAACGATACAAGAAAGCATCAGCCCACCTTGTGGGCTTTCGCCAAAGGTTGAATGAGCGCTAAATAAATTTATCCAAAGTTTCAATGGGGAAGCATTGAAGATTAAAGTCTTGAACCAGTCACTGGCCTTGGCGCCAACGGGGATCTAAAGTTTTCAAGGATTGTTTGTTCGTTGGAAAAAAAAAAAAAAAAGTCACTGCTATCCTTGGGTGAACTCTTCAAGAGGGCAGAAAAATACATCAATGTTGAGGAGACGTTCAGAGCATGGGTGGAAGATGAGTGGGATACCTCTTACAGTAATAGAAGAAGAGATGTAGAGGAGAGGTTTTAAAGATCTCGACTGTGAAGGAGAGAAAAGATGCAATTGACTCGAAGAACGGAGCAAAGCGAAGTTCAGACAATGATATTGGTAGAAAAAGAAAAACAAGAATGTGACATAGGTTGTATATCACCAAAAAGAAGTGTGAGATATGCATACTTCTATGTGTGCTATAAAGAACTAAATCTTTATGTACATTCACGATAATGTTCTATAAACAACCAAGATGAGAACCCTAGCAAACAAAAAAAAGCCATGATAAGTATTGTCGTTCTTATAAGGACTAAGGTAGTGATACTGAGGGTTGTGAAAAGCTAAAAAAATAAAATTTAAGACTTGATACACAAATAGTACCTTAAGAATTTCAAGCGTAGAGATTGAATCAACCCTCAATCTCTGCGACGACACCGAAGGATCGAAGTCACAGTCCTAGAAGTGGTAATCCAAGGGTTCGGAGACCTGGGAGGGAAAACCTGCTAAGCATCAAGGTCTTAATAGTAATCACGGGAGGTCCATCTAGTAGAGAAATAAATTCCACCTAAAAATCATACGCAAGACAGCCTTGGACAGAGGACTCGCAAGATAAAATTCCTTGTAAAAAGACGCCAATCACCTTCATAGAGGAAGACACAGGTGAGACTCTAATCCCTTATGAAAATCATATAGTCATTACACTTATCGTAGAAAATTATTAGGCCAGAAGAGGTGGATTGTAGTACCTTAGCTTAATTCCATCCACAAAACATAAGGAAGGTGACCTTGGACAGAAGTTCAAAGTCTAACCACTCTATGATCAAAATTTCTTGGTTTTTTCTTTTATTTTTTATTTTTTTGATTGGCGCCATATAGCAATTTCTTGCCACCTCATTCATCTCTTTAAACATTTCCAATGTCGTTTTCGATTGGAAAATTCCTAAACATGTGATATGTAAAGACTATGAGCTTCATCTTGTTTAACCCTGGTCGTATGAGGATAACATCGTAGCCGAAAATAACTTTATAGCTAAAAAAATCCGTCATAATTGTGGTCTATTGGGTTGAGTCCCTTGTAGTGAACATGAGAGTTCTAATACCTTTGGCTCCTCAATTTCACCGGAAACCCCACTAGTGGAGTTTTAACTGGCCTAAGTCGTTCTAGGCTAATTTCTATCTTCTCAAATGCACCATAAAATATGATATAAGTTGAGCTACCTCTATCCACCAACACTCTTCTGACCTCATAATTTCCAATAGTAGGTGTACCGACCATATGATCATTACGAGGAGCCAGCATTTTACTTGTGTTTTTCGACATGAAGGCGATTATAAAGGAAATATAATTTTACTAGACGACACATGGCTTGATAAAATAGGCATGTGTGTTTCGAGGATTGAGAGTGTCCTAGATTAAAACTAATGCCCAAGAGGAAGCTCTCATGGACCATAGTTACTGGGATGTGAGTCCGTTATATGTAAAGGGAAAACTTAGGTCGTCCAATCTTTATAAAATAACGACCTTAGGCCAAGGAAAGGTACGAACTCTCTTTACACTTACTAATTATATAGCTACCACCCTGACTATCCTACTCTAACTTTGTCATAGGAGAGAATCTACCTCTGGACACAACTCCGGGGGCTCTATTTGCATGCGTTTGCACAAAAAGGTTTGCTCTAAGGACAATCTTAAAGCGTAAATTGCCACCAAGTGTCCTCAAGCTAACATTTATTTTTTGTCCTCGGGCTCTTGAATTATACCAAAAATAAACCTCAATGACATGCACATTTTTTCACCAACTCTTAATAACCTCAATTAGAAGAGCACCACCATATTCCATTCATGTTCATTAATATCTTATTTGAATCTTGATCCATCAAGCTTAGATTCAAAGCTCCAGTCGAGTTCATGCATATTAAGTTAAAAAAAAATCATTAAACTTATCAAATCATTCATGCTCGATTCTTGTTGGACTCGGTTATAGCTTGTTTACTGTGATCGAAGATGAGAATCAAACAAACCGAAACATAATAATTAGCAAAGCTCGATGAACTTTCACAATCAGACAAGCTCAAACATAATAATTGGAGCTTAATAAAATTTCAAAACAATCTTTAACAACATTATGTACTTTTAACACAGTTATGGCTGTCTACAACCATAAAGAACAAGAAATGAAGGGTAGAAAGTAGATTCAGGTGCTCTTAACATGGATCCCACTTTCTTCACATCTACAATGAAAACCCAAAATTTTGTTCAGCAGATATTAGTTTATGTCATCATAACCTTTGCACAATGAAAACAGAAAATGGCAACATAAGATTAGCAATCGCTCTGCATGGCTTAAGCATATCAAGGGCAAGATTAGTCAGCCATCGAGCCCCATCACACCAGCCACTCAAGCACATTTTGGCGGAACATAAAGGACACCTTCTTCTTCACAAATATTCTGCGAAACAATCAATAAATACCGTTTCAAATTAGCAACTTGGATGAGAAACTACAAAAAAGTTGCTGCATGCACAGAAAAGAGGTGTATGATTCTGATATTTTGCTAGGATTTCACCTCCAAGAAAAGAACCACAGTTTTTAAAAGAGCATTACCTGCAAGTCTTGAGGGAGTGCTTCAGAGACCCCGAGCGTGTAACAACCAGGAAGAAGCTTCCCTGAAAGTTTAAAAAGAGTCATACACAGCTTAATCATCCAAACTCCAAATTTTTCATAATGAAGCAACAGAAAATAGGGGTGTTATAACATACTTGTTCTTCATAAAAATATTTAATGAAAACATATCATACTGAATAAGTTCTTCATGGGACACGAAGATGTGAAAATCATAAATAATCGATCAAAGTCTTTCAAGTATGCCCACATATAGAGTATTAATGTAGCAAAAAAGGAGTTATTGATAACATACCTGTTATGCATCAAAATCATAAATGAGAAAATATAATACCAACTAACTGATGGGGAGCTAAATCCTGAAGTTCATAAACATTCAATTCAAAATTTCCAATTATGTGGATCATAATTATCAGATCTAAAGATAGACTTCACAGAGACCTCACCTCTCTTATAGTCAGTTTGTTCACGCCAACTAAATTTAGCTTTGGTGACACACAGCTTATCTTAATTATGTAAAACTCTTACAAACTTAAGAATTCTAAGCCATCACAGCCTGCGTTTGTTCTATTATTTGTCTGGTGGCATATCAAAGTCAGCATCAATAATTTTATTGAGTGGCAAGCAAGATTAGAACATATTCTCGCCTAGCTAAGAAAATATAACATTAATATATATATACTTGCAAAGTTTCCCCAAACATTTTTTAGTGCATAGAGCACAAATCCACACGATCGACAAAAACAACACATACTTTAACTGTTTACGAATCTTGAGACCAGATAAAGGTTTATCACCATTCAACTTGTTCAGAGATAAAATGACCAAAACATTAGTAATATGAATGTTGTTGCAGAAGTGCAATAACAAGCAACTCACCATTACGGAGCCACTTGGAAGCCCAGCTTCTAGCTGGATTCATAACCGAAATTACACTATGAAAGAAAATTTGCAACAGATTTCAGTGAAGAAAAATAAAATCTGCACCGAAAAATTTTCCATTGGTTCCAAAAAAGGGTTAATCAAGAATGAAAACAAACCTGGAAAGATTTGTCGTCGTACAGTCGATGACTCTTTCATGATCCTCCTCCATCTGAAAGAAAGGGCAGTTCTCACATCCCGATGCCCTAAACTGCATCATTCACATTTATGTTTCCATATTAGCAATAATAATAATGACTTCAGAAAACATTGTGGTGCTAATCAACTCAACACGCAAAGAAAAAAAAAAAAAGTGACTGTGTTTGAATATGTAGAAAAGCTCGACCTGATCATAGGTTTTCACGAGACGACATCTAAGACATGCCCTGAGCTCGTTTCCGAAGCCTGTGGGTATTTGAGCAACCACTACTACTCCTTGATTTGTCATTGTTTCGTTCGCTTCCTTTATGAGTAAGACAAACAGCTAGTTACCACATTATTATCGCGGGAGTAAGATAGCATTTTTCCAAGTACTGTCACTACAACTCGACACGACGGTATTTTTCAAATTATTCGAAAATATGCAGGCTAATGAAAACCAGGACAGTCTAATATTCTATGAAAACCACTCTCCTAGGTTTTCATCAAGCAATTATACGATAAAAGTTAGACGAAAAATCCCCCAATTGCTGTTGTTTATCCTTCTGAATTCCCAAAAATTTATGCAAACAACTGACAGAAGCCCACATCAAACGGTGCAAATGTTCACAATTTAGAAAAAAAAAAGGAAAAAATCACGCTCTTCATCTTAAATCAAAGAGAGGGGTTACGGGAAAATCAGCAAAGGTATGTGAATATTAAACCTAAACACACACAGATGAGCAATTGCACCATAACCCCGCTGGTGCTCTCTGTAACGTAGAAAATCAAGACAATACAACTGAAATTGAAAGAAAAAA